TCAAGAGCCCAAATCTCTCATTTTCACAGATGAGGTTCAGAGAGGATAAATGACTTACCTAAGATAACCTAAGTGGCTGATTTTCAAAAACAAGTTAGGAATCCTGACTCTCAAGCCAGCACCCTTTTCATTTTGCAGTGCTGCTTCATCAATTTACAAATTCTGGTTTCTCATAACAATAGGCATTTAAAATACCAATTTAAACTCCTTGTATACTTTCCACTCATTCAATGTGGCCTAGTAAAAACCTATATATACTCCCTTCCCCAGATAAATGAAAAACCCTAAACAACAACAAAAATAATAAAAATGTTAAGACCCAAATAAAAATGAGAATAGATGAACCAAATTACAATTCACAGAAGAAACTGAAATGGAAATGAGTATATGAAGTGTTCACTCTTACTAGTAATTAAAGAAATACAAATTAAATACTTTTGCTTATCAAACAAGTAAAGATAAAAAAATAATATTCACTGTTACGAAGGACACACTAAGACAGGCACAATCACTGCAGGTGAGAATGTTAATTAGTCTAATCTTTATGAAAAGCAATTTGGCAGTAGGTTTAGTATTTTTAAATTTTCATGCCCTTTGACCTAGTAATTCAATTTCGGAGAATCTAACCTAAAGAAATGAGTGATTTGTACAAAGATTTATGCATAAACTTATTCTCAGTTTTTTTTTACTTAATAATGTAACAATCAAAACACCCAAGTGCACAGTTAAATTATGTAATATCAATACAATAGAGTATTAAATAGCCATTAAAATTATTTTCAAATGATTTCGATGCCATAAAAAATTATGACGTAATGTAAAGTAAAAGTAGGAGATACGAAACTAAATCTGCTATAATAGTATGAGCCCAATTAGCTGTATGTTCATGAGTGTGTGTGTACACACATGTGTGTATATGAGAATCAAATTTTTAAAAAAGACCAAAAGGAAATACAGCAAATGTTAGTTCTCTCCAGAACAGATTATGGAATATTTTATCTTCTTTATAATTATTTTTTCCCCAGGTTTTCTATAGTGAGTATATACAATTATTTTCTAAATGTGTTTGTATTTGTGAAAATAAAACAAGAATTATATGTATAAAATTTAAAAAGTTTTTTTTAAAAAGATAAATTTGCAAGTCACTCATATTGGAGGTGTTGAAGTCATGGGAATAGATCAAATTGCACAGGGAGAAAATATAATGAGAATAAGATGCTGGACAGGGCCATGACAGACATCCACATTTAGGGGGCAAAAAGGCTGTGAGTTAGTGAAGGAGCATGGGAGGAAATGGTCCAATTAGTAGAGAACCAGGTATACAATCATGTCAAGAAAGCCAAATGAAAGGAAGAAACAGAAAAGCTGTCCACTTGGTCAAACGTTCCCAAGTAGTAAGGAGGAGGACAGTGACAGGGCCATTACAGGGAAATCACTGGTCTATGCACGGACAGACAGATTTCCTGTAATGCTGGAGGCAGAAGCTAAATCTGAGCAAATGTTACCTGTTTTGTAAAACTGACTATGAGGAAAAGAATCCTGGGCCATTTGCTTAAATTTCGATTTATGGAAGAAAAAAAGATCATGGAAATCTAAAACCAAGTAAAAGTGTATCAGGATTACTAATCTACGGGTAATGACACAAAAATTGACAATACTTTGGTGTGTAAGAAAAAACATGTTTGAGGGATTGTAAGGTTTTCTAAATAGTAAGCTCTGTTATAGGATAAATAAGGGAGAAAAAAAGCTCTACACTTGTTATCAGAAGTAAAAAAAGTTGCATCTTTTTTTCTAAATATGAAAGTTTCTAGTTTTAGAGTAGCATTGTTAAGGAATTCTTTGAAAGAAAATTTTAAAAATGTAAATTTTTGTGGCATCATGTTAACTTCTTATAACTGGATGTGTGAAGTCTCTAGAAACATTTTCTAGTATAAAGAAATCATTTGACATGCTGAATAATAAATTGTTTGTTGGGTCAAACTTTGTACTTTTTACGGAAAGAGGTCTGCATTAGCACAATAACTTGACTGAGTCTCAAGGACTTTGTATCCAGTCACAGAATTAACAACATATCAGTATGGTCCTACCAAGAGTACCATTTACCATGGAATTTCAATTCCACAGTCATTAAGTAGAAACTACTCAATTTACAACCACTTATTTGTTACTAAAAAACCTTGAGAGTCTGTGTTAAGTAATTTAACATCACCTGAAGATGACTGTACACAATTCAAAATAAAGTACTTCAACTTCTTATCAAAAAATATACAGTGAAAAACCATAGCAGTTTAAAAAAAAAAAAAGACTTTTCTTATGGAAATTCCTAACTTAAGAATCAAGTTACACATTCTCCTATCTGCAGGAAGAGTACAATTCCAATCTAAATGGAACTCTCTATTTCTGAGTGTATGAAATTAAGAATGCCTGAAAACTAGTTTCACTGTCTACATAAACAATGGCAAATTCTCCCAATTTGTGGTTAGGCGGCCTTTTATGGCAAACATGTCTAAAGACCTCCCACATTCTCAACCTTCTTTTCTGTCTGGGTGTATATGTCTTAAAGAATTTTGTACTTAAAAATATTATAAGAAAACAACATAATCATTATAGGTTCCCAAATTATAAGCACATATACCTACTGCCTTTCCAAATATTCCTGGGGGGAGACCACTTTCCTAGAGTGCAAACAGAAAGAAAAGAGGTAAGGAATGTCCAAAAAAATGTGTTCAACAAATCTTATGGCTCAAATTGCCAAACAGGAAAACCACCATCTGTATTATTAACTTACTATCTCTATGTAAAAAATGAAAGACATAATCATATAGAAGGGACCATGTCATGTTCATCCTGTGTATACCAGGACACTGGCACAAAGTAAGCAATTAATAAAAGCCTGAAGGTACATGAAGAGCACTCAAGACTACTTATAGACTTCAGATTATCAAAACTCTACAAAGAAACTTCAAATATTTCTCACTCTT